CAGCGGTGGCAGCGGCAGAGCGGGGAGCTGCCCACAATGCACTGCGCCGCCAGCATCAGCACCAGCCCTGACATCACCGCCCCGCCGCCCTGGCTCTGACATCACCGCCCTTTCTCTGACATCACATTCTGCCCCGCTCTCTCCTCTCCGGCAGCGCGGGGGCTCTCGCGCGCGGGGTCCTGCTCTGGCTCTTAAAGGCTCTCCTCACGGTCTCAGCCGCTCACTTGATCCCCATCCCCCCGCGGGGCCGCTCACTCCTTACCTGTCCTAGACGCCTCACCTGTCTCCGGCAGCCTTTACCCCTGCGCTCCCAGCATGTCCCTGTCACTCCCGCGGGTCCCCGTCAGCCTCAGCCCATCCCCTCACTCCATCCTCCATACGCTCATGTGACTTTCCTCTAAGCTCACTTCCCCTCCCCGGCCATACGTCCCCACCCGCTTCCTTCTACCCATCCCTCACCTATAACTCACCTCACCACATATGCACCTTACCGCCTGGCTCACCCTGGCTCGCTCTCTCTTTGGCCCTTTCTCCCATCTGCTGACAAACTCTGCTGTCCTCTCTGACTGCTCACCAAATAAATGCACACTCCTCACTGAGACGTTAAACATTCTCTCTCCCCCACCAAGGCCCCACAGAGGCTCCGGCTGTCCTTCTGACAGATTGGGTTGCTCAGCATTCACTGAACACGCTTTGCACATTGTCTCTCTCAGATCCTTCCTTCCATCCTCATGCCTCCGATAAATGGGTACTGAGCGCCTTCACCACCAACACCACCACCAACAATAGCAGCAGCTATTTACTCCTGCCACTATGCTGACTGTACACATATTAATTCATTTAATTCTCATAACAACCCTATGAGGTAGCAGTACTGATGCTGTGCCCATTTTATAGATGAAGAAACTAAGGTACAGAGCTTTGAGCACTTGCCTTAGGCCACATAGCTGGCAAGTGGCAGAGCTGGGACCCAAAGCCCGGCTCCGGAGCCCATGCTCCCGGCCACTCCGCTGGCAGGAAGTGCCATTGAGTCTGCAAGACCGGTCAGGAGGCGTCTCAGAGGAGGTGCATTCCACTGTCATCTGAAGGATCAGAAGGGGCCAGGGCGGAGGGTGGGAGAGACTTCCAGCTGGGGGGAGGGCCTGAGGGGGCAGGGGAGGCACGTGCAAGACCAGAAGGGCCTTTTGTGCTGTGCTAAGACTGGATTTTCTCCACTTGGTTTTTGAAAGTGTAGTGGATGGTGGGGTGTCATCCAGAGGCCCCTTCTGAGTCCAGGCCGCCATTCCCAGGCTGGGTCCCTCTCTGGGAAGGTCCCTTGGCCCAGGACAGTGGTTCTCAACCTGTGGGTCGCGACCCCTTTGGGGGTCGAACGACCCTTTCACAGGGGTCGCCTAAGACCATCGGAAAACACATATATAATCACATATTGCTTTTGTGATTCATCACTATGCTTTAATTATGTTCAATTTGTAACAATGAAAATACACCCTGCATATCAGATATTTACATGACGATTCATAACAGTAGCAAAATTACAGTTACGAAGTAGCAACAAAAATAATGTTATGGTTGGGGGTCACCACCACATGAGGAGTTGTATTAAAGGGTCGCGGCATTAGAAAGGTTGAGAACCACTGGCCTAGGAAGATGCTTCATCCAAGACCACGCACCCTCCCTGGGGCATCCCAGACCTG